TGAATGAATAAAAGCAGCTCAGCTATGGTTTAGACCTTCTCAGGGACTTTTCTGAAAAGATACGGTCAGTATTCATAATTGGTAAATTTGTTATGGCATTTTCCACCTTCCAAAATGCTTTCACGTGCTATCACATTTGATCTTTGTGAAAAGAAAAGGACTCTAGATCTGGGCTGGGAAATAATTTCCATTTCGCAGTTAAGAAAACTAAGGCGGGCCGGGCGCGGTGGCTCAAGCCTGTAATCCCAGCACTTTGGGAGGCCGAGGCGGGTGGATCACAAGGTCAAGAGATCGAGACCATCCTGGTCAACGTGGTGAAACCCCGTCTCTACTAAAAATACAAAACATTAGCTGGGCATGGTAGCGCGTGCCTGTAATCCCAGCTACTCAGGAGGCTGAGGCAGGAGAATTGCCTGAACCCAGGAGGCGGAGGTTGCGGTGAGCCGAGATCGCGCCATTGCACTCCAGCCTGGGTAACAAGAGTGGAAAACCCTCTCCAAAAAAAAAAAAAAAAAAAAAAAAAAGAAAACTAAGGCGAAGAAAGATGACTTAGCCGAGTGACTCAGCACCTCAGCAGAAGTCCTGAAAGGAAAACCCAGACTCTGTCTCCTGACCTACCCCTTTCCCACCTCCTCTAATGGCTCAGCCCCAGCCCCATCCCTTCCCTGGACAGGGGTCATTCGACATCTGAGAGGAGGCAGAGGACTCGGGCATGCACAGAAGCCCTGTCCCTGAATCAGCTCAGAGGGCACTTGAATGATAAAATATTTATTTGGTGATAAGACCTTGTGTTCCAGATCAAATGTCCACTCTTGCCTGGATTACCTTACAGTAAAGTAGACCTAATGACAGTGCCTGCTGCCTGCTGCTCCCAAATCCCTGGAGGGTCACTCATGCCAGCTTGCACAGGAGCCATCCAGCCTCTCAGTCGGGGAAACAGACCAATCAGAGGAGATCCACATCTTCCATAGGCCACACACCCCACGTACCCAGCCCACACGTGCTGTTTAGGACCACGAGGCCTCAGGCCTTTCTGCTCCCCTTTCCTTACTCAGTGATAGCATTAGTGATGGTGAGGTATCTCCCCACCCCTTCCTCGCTTTGGTGCCTTGTCTCTGACAGTGGCTGAAAGCCATGTCCCTGAGTCCCTGCCCTGCGTGATGACAGCTCCCACGGAGGACCCTCCTCAGAGCTTTAGCTCTCCCTGCTTCTGGCACTGGGATTTCCTTCCTCCTGATGCCCCATCTCCATGGGAGGTAGTGGTTCCTGACTGAGGCAGCCTCTGCGTACCCAACATTCCTTATTGGTTCTCTTAACCTTGCCCAAATCTCTGGTAATAATCTCTTTATTAAAGTCTTTTTATTCAAACCCTTGGGGATAAATTCTGTTTTCCTGTAAGGCGGGCTCTGACTGATATATATACACAGAGATACCCATATCTACATCTAATTAACTGAAAGGCCGTATCCTCATTGGTCAGCAGGAGCAGAGAGCAGACAGTGTCCGGTGCCAGTGCACTTACCTTCAACACAGAGCTTCCACATTCCAAGCAAGTCCAGCCTGCCCTTCCTTCCTCCCTCATCTTTCTAGAGGCAGTGGCCTAGCTGCACATTCTCATAAAGCAGCTCAGTGTGGGCTGCCAGCAACCTAACATCAGGATGGAAGAAAACAGAGGCCTCAGAGGTTCAGCATTTTCTGGAATCTAACCATTCTGCTGATCCTCGCGTTTAGCAAATAGCCGTTTCGATTTCAGGATGCTTAAATCCCTTCTTTGTTCTTTCTGCCGTGTAACTAGGGTGTTACCGTGAGTCTGGGGGAATTCCTGTTCGGGGGTAGGCGTTTTTTTAAGGTTTTGTTTTGGCTCTTGCCTTGTTCTGAAGAAGTCAGGCCTGTGTACTTGGAAGAAGGTAGAGTTTGTTAGGGCTTTTCTCCTGCTGTGTGTCTCCAGCTGAGCTCTATCTACTTCAGATGGTTCCTTTCTGGTCCTCAGGCTCCGACACGACTCCCTCCTCTCACTTCAGGATAGTTGTCTAAGTCTGGGAGATCCAAAACCTCTCCTCTTCTATTTACTTGCCTCCAGCTTCCAGGTTGCTGCAACCTTCACTGCCAAGTCACTCAGCAGGTTACTCCGACGCTCATTCATTACCCATTTATTTACTGAAGGCCTGCTGTGTGCCAAGGAAAACAATGTTGATCAAATACTTATCCCAGCTCTTTAGGACCTGGGAGTCTCGCCGGGAGGGAAAGACAAACAAGACGTTTTGGATTCTGCTGCTCCTGCAGGGAATTACAGAGGTGAAATGGCGGGTTTGGGAGAGGGGTCCCTGCTGGACTCTGGCTGCTGTCGGTGAGCATTCTAGGCCAGGAATCAGGTTCACAGGTAGCCTATTTTCCACACCTGATAAGAAATGTGTTTCATAAATAAGTAACCACACCTGCGTTACTATGCAAACAAGCTCAGCTCCGCCCTCTGAACAGCCAAGTTCACTTTTCCACTAGCCTTTTCTCTCCTGCGTTTACCTTCTCTGTCTTTACCGTGTGCCACTCACTCCTCAGTCTGTCACTACTGAAGGAGACACCCAGCCTGGAACAGAAAGGGCAGTTTGAAGGGGGTCTCTACCTGGTATCTGAGCCGAGTTCCTTCTAAGGGCCAGTGTTTACTGTGGCTGTGCCTCGCGCCTTAAAAAAAAAAAATTGCTACAGAAAATACCAACACTGATAGCTAAACCCATTTAAATTAAGATTCATAAAAGGGGAGGGAGGCCGGAAGAATGAAGCCAGCAGGAAACCTCTCTTGCTGCCGTGTGCTGCTCCATGCATTTCAAATACAGCCCAACTCAAGTCCTGATTCACCTTCACTTACCCTTACACAGGAGCCTCACAGAAGCTAGGTGCAGCTGCAACACGAGCTGCTAAGAACTTGCTGATTTCAACACAGACTGGTTTCCAAAATGTCCTGGGGTTTTAAAACTTCACTCCCCCAGACACTTCAGGCTATGCCATAACTAATCCCACATCTTGCATTTATTTGGGAAAGGAGACTTTGGTATTCTGTGTGGGTGAGAGACGCAGCAAAGACTAACTAGGGAATCTGGCATCTTTTTTGTTGCCATTTCCTGTTGTGAAAATTCTTCATATCAAAATAGGATGGGACGCTGGAGTTAGAAGGAGTGATGGAGATCATTCGGTTCTGTGGCCTCTCTCTGTTTTGGAGAACTAATGGAGGAAATAGGCCTTGACTGAGCTCCTAGAAACGAGTGCCTCAGCTCACGCAGGCTGCAGTCCAGCATTCTGTTGAGTGCGCTACTGCTCTGGGGATTCATCCACGAGGTGTTTGCAGAGGACAGAGAGGGAATTTGCAGCCACGAAAGGGAGAATGGAAACTCACCAAAGAGGAAGAAATCAGCTTGACATTTAGCTTGCCATTTAGGCGGCTATCACAAGGCCAAGAATCTGCCTGATGCGAGGTGAAAGAGGGAAATGAAGACGAGGAAGGAGGGAGGGAGGAAGGAATAAATTTCCGAACAAATAGTGTCTGTGGCTCTGTACTTACCCCCTGTACTGGGGTGGCAAAGGGGTGGGTCGGAATGAGGGGAAGGGAAATATGTTCCTGGAGGAAAAGGCTTCTTACGTAAAGGGTGAAGGCAAGACTCAGACCCAAGTAGCAGCCAGGGGAAGCTGTTTATGGTGGATGCTGTGATGCTCCCCAGATCCCCTTTCATGAAAGAAGGGGTTATTCCCCCACATAGTGGAAAAGCTGCCAGAGGAGGATCCTTGGCCATCAGCACTCTTGAGACTCCCTGGGTTGAAGGGTTGAAGGAAACCACCCTGCCCAAGTCATGCCTACTCCCAGTGGCAGACCCCATCCAGTGACTCATCCCCAGGAGTCTAAAGGCCTGGCTTAAACAGTCCAACTGGGGATACCTCAGAAGGGCCCTCCCAGCTTCAGTGCATTCCAAGTGGTCAGCTGAGCTCTTTGTCGGGACTGCTTCAGAGCTCAGCTTCTCCCTCTGCCCAACCCTGCTTTCTTCTCTTCCCCCCGACAGCGTGGGTATGGAGAGCACTTCCTTATGAACAGCCTGCACACAACGTCTGTCTCAGAGTCATCTGCTGGGGGAACCCTACCCACAACACTGCTTATGATGTAAATGTACAAAGCCCTGCTGAAGGCAGAGAAAAGATCGTCATCCGTTGAGTCTGGTCAGGTAACTCACACCATGAAGAACATTGCCCAAGTCCTTATTTAGACAATTAAGTTCGGTGCCACCTCAGGTTCAACCACAACATGTGTATTGCGCCATCTAAGCATCAGAGCAGGCGAACTGAAAAGGTGATCCCTTCCCCTGCAGGACCCACCCTTCCTCAATCAATCAGCCAGATATAGGCACAGCCAATTCTTAAAGACCTTTAAGGAGGACTCCAAACCCACCTTTGGTACTGTCGCCCCTTATGAAGTTCACAAACCTCAACTATCAAAAATGTCTCCCTGCAATAATTTAGTTTTCACATCCTGTGTTAATTTCTTTTTGTTGTCTCAAGCAGAAGTAGAAAACATTTATAAGGTTCTCTGTCCAGTGATCCTTTATGGTTCATCTTCAATATTTCTTCAAGGTTAATGAGAGGTGAAAGAGAAATGAAGAAGACGAGGAAGGAGGGAGCCACCAGCTTTCTAGCAAAAGGTCATGTTTTCAATCCTATCATCTCTGTAGCTTTCTGTAATAAATCTTGGTTTGAATGTTGGTCGGTTTAAGGGCTATGCCAGTTTCTCACCTACTAGAGCCATCTTTATCATCCTCTGTGGCAAATGGCACAACTGGATGCAATAACAAGTCACATTCTAAAGCCACTGAGGGCACTTTGGTTCTCATTCTTCCAGGCAAGCATTCCCACGGCCTGCAAACTCTGACTGGGCTCCTAACTGAAGATACAAAGGGGTAAAGAGGTGAGAAGCAGAAAGGTTAAACCTAGGAACAGAGAAGCCAATGTACCCCAGAGAACAGGAGAGGTGGTCTGCAGAGTTCAGAAGGCAGGCAGCTCATGCTTGAAGGTGATATGCTTCTGCCTACCAGAGAAATCTGAGCACATCAGTTACTTCTTTCTTACCAAGAATCCCTGGCCTGGCACAGTGGCTCATGCCTGTAATCCCAGCTACTCAGGAGGCTGAGGCAGGAGAATCGCTTGAGTCCTGGAGGCGGAGGTTGTGGTGAGCTGAGATTGCACCATTGCACTCCAGCCTGGGCAACAAGAGCGAAACTCCGTCTCAAAAAAAAAAAAAAAAAAAAAAAAAAGACTCCCTGAGATACTTAGATTTCTGAGTTATGAGCTGAAAGTGAGATAAGGCCTGTTTTGTTTTGTTTGTTTCCACACACGTAGCTCAAGATGCTTTCTGGATCTGCAATGGTAAGTAGTGATTTACGTTGGAGAAAGAAATAAGGGAGGTCCGGGCCCTTACTTTGCTATCTCTAACCCTCTCTACAGAACCACCCAGTAATTATGATATTTAACTGTGGAATGGTAGAGTTTTTATACTCAAGAGGCAAACTCACACTAGTGGTGCTATAGAGCTCAAGACCAGCCTGACCAACACAGAGAAACCCCGTCTCTACTAAAAATACAAAAAAATTAGCCAGGCACGGTGGCACATGCCTTTAATCCCAGCTACTTGGGAGGCTGAGCCAGAATTGCCTCAGTGGTTGGGCATGGCTGAAAGCCATTTCTGATAACCAGGGGAGTTGGGGCGGGGAGGTGATTACTGGTATCTAGTGTCCTGTGTCAACCAGGCCACAGGACAGCCTCACACAACAAAGAGTCATCCCATCCAAAATCGTGCTGAGGTTGAGAAACTCCATCTTACAAATAATTCTCTGTCCTCCCAAATGCATTCACCTACTCAGGGACCTTTAGGCCTTGTTTCTCCTCCTCTAGACACTCAGCTGACCTGGGGAAATTACAAGCTGCTTGACCAATAAGCTCATTATCTTGTTTTTGACGGAGAAAGAGCTGAGGAACAAAGATGACAAATAAAACCCCAGCTGTGAGGTGAAAGAAATCTTAACCTTGGCTCACAGGCCCCCTTCCAAAGCTACGCAGTGTGTGGGGATCCGTGAGCTGCCAGTTCTGGTCAGAAAATCATAAAGAAGTCTCAGAATTACTTCCTAGGCGAGGGTCTGCTTCAGAGTCACACAGAGATGCCTCTTGCTTTCACCTCTGTACCCATCTCATTGCCTCTCTTTGAATCCAGGCTTGAACACTGTGCAAGCAGAATAAGCAGGCATTCTCTTCAATTAGTTCTGAAACCATCTCAATGATTTTGGGAAAACAAACTCCCCACAATCTGGCAACAAGGTGTCCAGCAGGGGTTATTTTTAAGTCTGTTTCTTAGTTTCCTGCAGAATACACTGAGCATGCCAAAAGGCTTCAAAGCTACAGTTATGGCATCAGCGACAGCTCTTCAGCTAGCCTGTGCTTCGACCGAAAACAGCACAAACAGAAAAGTCAGCCAAGCCACGAGGGGCCTGGTCAAGCGTCTAACAGTGTAGGATCGCTGCCTAACAAGCAGGCTCCTACTACAATACAGCCTTTGAAGTGTCTTGAAAATAAATCCTATGTTTGGAAAACAAAGCCCTCTCTCCAGGCCCAGACTCACCCCACTCACCCCGCCCTCATCCCTGTTTCACTGAAAAGCTACAAATGAAAAAGCACTTGGATATTTAAATATTTTCATATAGAGTAACATTTTTCTTTAAAGGGCCATCTTCTTAAGAATACAAATCCCCCAAGAATGGTGCTCGAGCTGCTCAAGCTTTCCAACCAGAAAATATGACTGTATTGAAAGATACAAGAAACAATAGGACCAGCCTCACTTCTGCCCCTTAAAACAATTCAAATCACTGAAGGTGACATCTCTTGCTGGCATCTCTGCTGCCATCTACTGACTCAAACTGGCACATATTCTAGTCAATCCTAACCAAGAAGGGTTACATTGTTCTGTATACGTTTCCATTTTAAGTCTTAACATGTTGTATTACAATCCTTTGTACATAACTTTACTTCTAAATTGCAAGTACCCACAAGATACACAGGATGTCTTGCTCATCTTTTAGTAGGTAATCAGGAAATGGTTGTGGGATTAAGTAACTGTGAGTGTTACACAGGCCTTCTCCAAAAAGATCATCTCAATTTTCTTAAGGATTCCTCCAAAACCCAGAAACTACCATACTTTTATCAAGCAGAAGAGAGCAAGTAGTCTATTTTTCAAGGCCTTCAGAGTAGCTCCTTCCACAACTTTTTTTATTCACCCAATATCAGCCTTCACAATCTCCATCATCAGCAAATTATTCTGTCTCAAATAAGAATTGTTTATTGTTTATGTCTATGACTCATGTGGCTTAGAGTTGGTTGTAACTTTAATGTGAGGGGTTTTTGGAGACTCAAAAGCAGAACTGTGACGATACTGTTGTTCTTTTCTCCCCAAATTGAGTAAGCCCATTCCTTCTTTCTACATCTTCATGATCTATACAGCTCAAAATTAGTAATAGTTTTCTTAATGTGAAGCCTCAAAACTAGTTTCAATACTGTATTTAGCATTTAGGCAAAGGTAATTTTAAGAAGTGTTTGTGGTCCCTGCTATCATCCTTATCAATGGGATACCTTGCATTAGGCAAACCTAGCATTTACCAGGCAGACAAATTAGGAGTTGGTGATTCATTTCACAGAGCAGTCCCAGGAAAATTTCTTCAAAATGACGACTTCAGTCCTATTTCATTTAGAAAATATTCATTTTACGAGAAATTTTTCATGGATTACAAATCACAGAATGAGAGTAGCTGTAATCTTACTGATGTCTAATTTATGTGTCACTTGGGTTTAAGATATGCACCTTTTTCTGGTTTCTGCTACTGGTGTTATGAGCTCTTCAAGATCTCTTGTCCCATACAGAAGTGATCAGCATGAAGATCATCTCTTAGAAAATATTATCACGTTCATCTGACACCTGAAAAAGCATACCCGGAGAGTAGAAGAAACTTGGAGACTCTTTATATACACAAATAGCATAAAGGAGTTTTTCCCAACTCTAAGGGACCAACCTGGGCAAAGGAATAGCCTTGGCAATCAGTCTCCCTGTCCCTGTACCCTCAAGAAAACAGGGAGAGTCCCGTTCTCTAATGCCAAGGTTAATACCTAGCTTTGGTTTCTTAGCAAGCAGGGTCTCTGCACTGCAATCTGGAAGGCCACTGGAATCTCTCTGCCAATGTTTTTGCCATCCTCATTATTGATCCTAGTAGCAGCACAAACCTGTTTCTGGATGTTGTGTTTAGATGCTGATCAGCGTTAAGTACTCACCCCAGGGAGGCTGGGCAAAAACAGCATGCAGACTTTTCAAGCTGTGCAGACTTTTCAAGCTGACTTTATAGACTGTTTGCTCTTTGGATTGGTCAGGGCCTGCAGTCAGAACCCACGATCGTTAATTCATTAACGCCTAGCTCTTTAAGCAATTTGGCAAAAATCTTTGATAATTCAGTCCCACTGCTGGGGGCTGCTTCCAAAATGCATATTTTCAAAATGTGTGAGCAGGCCGGGCACGGTGGCTCACGCCTGTAATCCCAGCACTTTGGGACGCTGAGGCAGGCAGATCTCCTGAGGTGGGAGTTCAGGACCAGCCTGACAAACATGGAGAAACCCTGTCTCTACTAAAAATACAAAATTAGCCAGGTGCGGTGGAACACGCCTGTAATCTCAGCTACTCGGGAGGCTGAGGCAGGAGAATTGCTTGAACCCAGGAGGTGGAGGTTGCAGTGAGCTGAGATCGCACCACTACATTCCAGCCTGGGCAACAAGAGCGAAAGTCGGTCAAAAAAAAAAAAATTTGGCAAAAATCTTTGATAATTCAGTCCCATTGCGGGGGGCTGCTTCCAAAATGTAATTTTCAAAATGTGTGAGCAGGCCAGGCATGGTAGTTCACACCTGTGATCCCAGCACTCTGGGAGGCCAAGGCGGGCAGATCACCTGAGGTCAGAAGTTTGAGATCAGCCTGGCCAACATGGTGAAACCCCATCTCTACTAAAAATACAAAAATTAGCTGGGCGTTGTGGCAGGTGCCTGTAATCTCAGCTACTCAGGAGGCTAAAGCAGGATAATCACTTGAACCTGGAAGGTGGAGGTTGCAGTGAGCTGAGATAGTGCCACTGCACTCCAGCCTGAGCGACAGAGCGAGAATCCATCTCAAAACAACAACAGTATAGTCAAAATATGTGAGCAGTATGAAGTGAAGGAAGAGTTCCAGGAGAAAATGGATGGGAAAGTGTTAATATACATTCTGATCTGTGTACAACCAAAGTGTTGGAAGGGTGATATGCACTTCTTGCTAAGCACAAATCCACCTAAAGCTCACTCTATTTATGATAGTGTCTTTATTATCTGACCTAATAAAAAAGATAACAGAATTTAACCCATACAACCATTCCTTGAGTGGAAAAGGTGGATCCTTCTTAGTGTGGCCCTAACACAGTAATACACATGGGAGCTTAAAGAGTTTGCCCACAGTGGAGAGCTAAAAATGCTTGGTGGTGCCTATTGATGCAATTTGATATACAACATGACAATGAAACCCCCCACAGCCACAGTGGAATTTCCACTAAAGAGCTAACTGGATAGAGACAAGGATCCATGTAGGCAAATCTTCAGAATGTACTTTTGTAGCCTCTATTTTAAAACTGTAATACTGCTTCTTAACCAGGCTTATGTCATACAGTTGGGGAAGAATGCTACAGATTTTTTCTTTACAGTGGGGTTGGGGGAAGTCAGAATTACTTAAGGAGTCTGTACCTTTCTCTCTACCTGCAAATTACATCTGTGCTATCTTCCACATTCCTCAGCATTAGAAATCAAAATAGTCTCCATACTGGATTGGCTTACACATAGTAGGTCTACCCTTTATCCTCCCTTCTGTTATCAGCACATCAGTAAATTGGGTATTCTGCAGTAGGCTTTTCCAAATGAGAAAATATGGTAGTTGTTTACTTTCTTTATCCACTCAAAAAGCTTCATTTAAAGTTGATGGAGGCCTGGCATGGTGGCTCATGCCTATAATCCCAGCACTTTGGGAGGCCGAAGCGGTGGATCACTTGAGGTCAGGAGTTCGAGACCAGCCTGGCCAACATGGTGAAACCCCGTTTCTACTAAAAATACAAAAATTTTCTGGGTGTGGTGGCAGGCACCTGTAATCCTAGCTAGTCGGGAGACTGGGGCAAGAGAATTGCTTGAACCCAGGAGGCAGAGGTTGCAGTGAGCCAAGATTGCACCACTGCACTCCAGCCTGTGTGACAGAGCAAGACTCTGTCTAAATAAATAAATAAAAAAGTTGATGGAAACAAGAAATTAAATCTAGCCTCAGTTTATGACAGAGGTTTCAAATTAGTGACCTGCAAGTCAAGTCTGGTCTGCAGATGTGTTTTGTTCGGCCCACACAGTACTCTGAAAAATCAGGACTACTTACATCAAATCTACATTTCCAGCTTTCAAGAAGGTACACCAAGTCCATAATCCTGCATAATAAAAATTGCCTGGAATTTATCACTATTGTCCCTTTCAAGAAGTCCCCAGATCTTCCTTTCCCTGACTGTGATACATTTCACTCATTTACAGTAGTGCCAGAGCTCTATAGGTATTTGAAAGTGACCTTTTGTTTGGAGTCTAGGAAAAGAACATCAAGGAGAGATTGACACAGATCCTCAAGGTAGGGATGGTAGCTGTAGATAATTATCAATTTAAAAAAAATTTTTAAACTATATAAATAACAATGTCTTTATTATGTATCCAATGTTTTTATTCAAGAACACAACAAATTATAACTACTAGCAAATGACAGCTTTATATTTTCAGTAGTGCTACACCAAACATTTGTTAAATGCTGTTTTTTTCTGAGAAAGAATGGAAGAAATGTATGAGCTTTCTATGAAATGTACAAAGTTAAAAAAAAGTAAGGCCTCTGCGTTGACTTTTAACCTAACATATGCTTTAGCAATCTAACAGAATTACAGGCACCTAAAAAGTAACAATTTTTCATCTTTTAAAGTTAAAAAAAGTGATTAATTTAATGGTCATTGCTTAGTTAATTCAGGATTTAGGAAAAGTTCTTAATATTAAGAAAATTTTTTATTAGATTTCTGTTTCACAATGTCTCTAAACCTTTCTGTATGAACGAATTTAATAGAAATCATTTTGATACATGCTTGACTATAATAAATAAAAATGTAACTAGTTACAATTAAATCTTTTAGACCTTGTAATAAATATCTTCCTTTCCTCACTGATATGGTGGAAAGAAAACCTAATATGAAATCAGTGAAACTTAATTCATCATGGCCATTGCTATGCGCCTGCTATGTAAAGCAATCAATGGCAAGAAGAAGAAAAGAGAGAAGACTCACTCAAGTGAGCAAGACCCAGTAAAACACATGAACACTGGTTAAATCTTCATCAGAACAATTCAAATGCTAAAAGGCATTTTTAAGCAATTGGTGAAATTTGAATATGGACTGGCTATTAGATAATACTAAGGAATTAAGGAATTATTAGTAGTAATTTTAAAAATATGCTGTGTCTTTCCATTGAAGTTGTAATCTTGCTAGCAGAAATTGTATGCAAAACAGGTATTCAGTAGATGTTGTTGATGCTGATGTTGAATTGTAGTATTTCAAATTTAGGTTGAAGGTCAAGAAGCACTGGGAAATAATTTCTACCTTTTCAGAATTACTGAATTTTAGAGTTCGAAATGACAAGAGGAGTTATCTAGTCAAAATAAATTTATCTTAAGTGTGAAGAAAAGGACACATAGCTAGAAAGCGGTGGGGCTGGTCTAGAATGCAAGTTTCTGTGCAGAGGCCCATATTATACCTCCTTCAGTGTAGCTTACATGGAGGCCCTTATAGCTTCAAAGCCCTATGTAGCTCACAACTCAATTCTTTCTCCTTCTCCACTTAACTTGATAATCTTGCTCTTCCTCCCAACTCCATTTTCCATCTCCAGGCTTTTTAAAATTTATATTCACTTGACAAATTTTACTTTCCTTGGGAAAGCTGCCAAAGGCAATTCTAACTGAGAAGGAATAATAATGAGCAAAGGAAAAACAAGGCAAAATTAAAAGAACAACAACAGCGGCTGTTTAAGCTTCGTCTAGATTTATACGTCTACTTTATCCCCCTGGCTTTCATGAACACATTTTTTTTTCTAAGCTCTGTCAATGGACACATAATAGCTTTCTATCAATCAGATAGATCTCAAAGGAAAAAAAACAGGTTTTAAGCCATCAGCACACAAAGAACCAGGGCTGCTGAAACATGTCTCTCTTGCCATTCCCTTTTTCCATCCTTTATCTACTCTTTTCAACAGCTAGTATGAAGGCCAAAAATTCAAATATTATTTTTATAAGCCTTTTAGTAATAAATTGCTTTTAAAACTATGCACATGTATTACTTTAAAAATGCTATGCTTTAGAAAGCTGAATTATAATTATCCAGTACTCTGTTTAGCACCAAATAGAAAAATTAAAAACTCAGCTTGAATGCTTCTGAATTTATAAGATAAGCCAGGCAGCCCTAATACGAGTATGGACAGATAGCTTAACATCGGCAATAAGTTGCATTAATATATCAAATACTTTAAAGAAGGATAAACGTAAATACAAATGAATAGACATATGGGATTTAGTAAGTATAAACTCATAGAAAAATGTGTTTCTGGGGCCTATTACAAAGGAATTACAGATTTCTTTTCTTAAGTTCCTCTGTTATGTTATACACTTATATATTAGTGATACACATACATTATCACTAATCCTCACAGCAAGCCTAAGGGATGACTGCCCATATTTTACAAATGAGGAAGAGGTAGGGCCAGAATTTTAATACGAAGCTGTCTGACTGCCCGTTAATCTTCTTTCCACCATAACATAAAAATACATACTCAATTTAAATTTAGGAGGGGAAAAGTTATGCTTTTTGCCCTTATTCTAATAGCAGCTCATTTTAATTTTTTGCTTGAAAAATGTTTTTTTTCTTTTTTTAGGAACAGAGACAGGATCTTACTGTGTTGCCTAGGCTGGTCACTGGTTGCAAACTCAAGCGATCCTCCTGCCTCGACTGGGATTACAGGCATGAGCCACCTCGCCCAGCCAGCAGCTCATTTTAACCATGTTCCATGGTCAAGGCTGACATTTAGCTAGTATGCCCTGGTGTGTGGCATAAAGGCTAAAGGCTGTTCTAATTCACTGGGTACCTGTTCTGCTTCATTTGTGCCCATGCCATACTAATCATTAAATATTTTTAATATTACACCTGTCCATGGCATAGAACTTTTAGAGTTTTCAATCAAATACTTATTCAGATACTTGAAATCATCCAAACCACTTCTTATATTTTCTATATCCATAGGTATCACAGGTCTACTTCTATGCAAAATTTGACTGGCCCTCTCTCTGAGTAATAACATGCCAAGATTCCCAGCTTTTATACTAGAAGCTTAAGCTTTGACATATTTATATATATATCAAAGCATGGGGCACATCTTCAAACCAGCAGTACAAAATTATTATACTCTAGGTTTTTGCCAGCAAGTCCAACCTTGAAATGAAATCCCGCTTGTCAAGTCAGGCTTGTAGCATTTCATGTTTGGGAAGACAGTCTAACAGACAGGATACTACCCACACCTTCCTCAGTTCTTGCTATCAAATTAGATCACCAGAAAGTAATATATCTGGACATTAGCTTAGACAAAAATGCCTACACTGTTTTGCACAAAGTTATAATCTTGGATTTTATCAAGATTCAATATAAGAAATGACCATATGGGAAAAAGGAAGCAATGGTATAAATATTTCAAAGACAAATCTAAATGTCATCATAACAAAAGTGTGATTTATTTCTAGAGCTTCTTACTCTAGATTTATTTATAAGTTAGTTATGTCAAAATCAGTTTGCCCAACCAGCATACATAAAATGTTGTACAAGCTCCCTCAACTGGTTGAGATATAGAACTACCAAAACACATGTTCCATTAGGTTGACTGCGTCATCCTCTTCAGAAATTTCTGTAACTGCAGCCTGAGATCGAAGAATGGACATGATGTCGTTAGATAATTTGTCAAAGCCATTCTGTAAACATATACTTGCCACTTCTTGCCACATTTCTATAGAGCAAAATGAATCATTTATCATAAGACTTTCTACTGCATCTGTGGGGGAAAAATACAATATTATAGTATGGCACTTATTCTTATTTGATAATCTATACTTTAATGATTCTTCAAAAACAGAAGACATGATTTCATCTCAGCTACTGTTAAACTCTACCTGATTCCCCTAAGATCAACGATATAACGTTCAGTGCTCAGTCTAGCTCATGGCAAGTACTTGCGTTAGTTCCTTCTCCTCCTCTCTTATCATTAACCTCTTCATGTCTCAGTTCAACCCTCCACCACTTTCTCACATTCCACGTCTCCACTCATCTCCTTTTTGTTAAGGTAGCAGATGCTGAAGGCTATAAGGTAGGAGCTCAGAAAGTGACGAGTATGGGCTCATCCTTATTCTCAGAGTCTACAAGGCACCACCAGAAACTATCAAATAACTGTGGACCTATAGGTCAAGTTTTCATGATTTCAAACACTTAGTTAAATGCCTTAGTGATGCTAACCCAAGGACTTAAGAAACTCTTTGACAAACTCTTCATCCTGTCTCTAGATGGAGACCTCTTAATGATGGGGCTTCTATAACAAATATTTTTCTTAAGGAAATGAAATCATTTTGTTTGTTAAAGAAATTTCATATTGTTTACTTTGTAAAATCTCTTAGGGATCTAACATTTATGGAACTCATTTCTTATCTATTACCTGCATTACTTATGGTACTTCATAAAAGAGGATCTCTTTTCAGAATATTGTCATCACTATAATTTTATTTCTACCATAATTATTATTTTTCTATCAAAATATTTTAGTTGATATCTATAGTGATAATTTCAAAATATAAAGTTATCTTCCAAAATACATTTTCAAGTAATTTAAAATCAAGTCGTCTGTTCAACTTCCTATATTAACAAAAAGAAAATAAGAGTTTTAATTATTCTTTCTCTCTCTCTCTCTCTCTCTCTCTCTCCCCCCCCCCCCCCCTCTTTTTTTTTTTTTTTTTTTTTTTGAAGCAGGGTCTCACCCAGGCTGGAGCGCAGTGGCACAATCACAGCTCACTGTAGCCTTGAGCTCCCTGGGCCCAGGCATTCTTCCACCTCAGCCTCTGGAGCAGCTGGGACTACAGGTGCACACCACCACACCTGGCTAATTTTTATATATTTTTTTATAGAGGCGAAGTTTTACCACATTGCCCGGGCTGGTCTTGAACTCCTGAGCTCAAGCAATCCACCCATCTCAGCCTCCCAAAGTGCTGGGATTACAGGGGTGAGCCACTGCACCCAGCCTAATTAGTTACTCTCTAATTTACAGCAGAGTTAGGTTCAGGGTGAATATCATATGTAAATACACATACATTTGGTTTAAGAATTAAAACATATAGTTTATGTCTACGTAACATTTAAAATACATATAAAAAGATGGCTAAATATATACATATGTCAATATATATAAAGTTTTTAGTGTTAGTGATTATAATTATTGTAACATTCCCCTCAGGCTTGATAAAGATTCTCTCTTCATTCTAATTTTCTCAAGAAATATATTCTACTGCTAATAGACTATTATTTACATGGCAATCTTTACATTTATAAACTACTAAAGTTAACTCCTGCTAAGAAGGAACTCTTAGGAAAATCTGAGTTAACTTATGCATAATCATCTTAAACCTTTCCCTAAATAACCCACCACTATTTCTTCCACAACATTTTACTCTACTTACCTTTCCCACCTTTATTTATTTCTTGAAGTAGCTTAATGCCAATTTTTTTCATATCCACAGAGAACAGATGAAGTATGGCAAGACCAAAAGATAAAGATGGCTGTTTCTCATTCAACTCTTTAATGAGACACTGAATTAATTCAACTTGGGGACATGACATTAATAGCTGCAACAGGTCATCTGAAAGCAAAAATGCAAACTTTATCTCAATATCCTAATATGATAAATCAACTAGAAACCAGAACTAGCTAATGTCTATACCTGCCAATCAACAACAGTTTTTCTAATCCTTCCAAAGCCCTCAATCAGCCACTCCAACCTAAACTCAACAGTACTATCCCCTAGCCCCCTCCATCAAAAAAGTCATGCTCAGCATAACAAAAAACAAAGGAAAACTACCCATAAGAGTACCAAAAACATAATTATAATGAAAAGAAATGTGGTACAATAAAAATATAGATTGGCTATCGGGAAACCTGAATTCTAATCATAGCTCCATCAGTCACTTATTCTTTTGGAACTCAGTTTTCACATCTGAAAAGTGCTAGAATTGGAGCGAATTTCTAAGGTTTCATCTAATACTACAGTTCGTTTGTCTATATCTTGTTGCTCATATTTGGACCAAATTCTGGTAAGTATAATGTCTTTCTTTCTGTGCCTTGCACAGAAAAAGCAACTCAGTAATTTTTTCCTAAAAATATCAAATACTTAGAAATTCAAAAATGAAAACTTAAAGAAGCCATCAGCTATTTCAAGTAGCTAGAGGTAGAGCCATATGAAGCTGCCTAAATTTGACCAACAAAAGGACAATTCCATATGGTTTAATCTACTACTTAACCATTGAGGTAATCTAAAGCTACAATTATGATTTGTATTCTTAATTTTTTTTTAAACAAATTCTCACTGTGTTGTCCAGGCTGGAGTGCAATGGCTCATCACAGGCACAATAATTATGTACTATATCCTTAAACTCCTGGGCTTAAGCATTCTCCCACCTCAGCCTTCACAATAGCTGGGACTACAGGCATGCACCACCGTGCCCTCTATATTCTTAAGTTTATAAACTTTGTATTAACTTCCTAAACTTTTTTAAGTAAAAATATTATTATGGGGCCACAATAGAGGTAATTTTGAGAATAACTTCTGAGAGCCTTTCAAGAACTACCCTAGACATAATTTGAACTCTGAAGGCCTTGGGTTTTTAAAATGTATTTAATATGTAGAGATGGGGTCCCACTATAGTGCCCCAGGCTGGTCTTGAACTCCTTGACTCCCTTTTGCTTACTACATTTCAAAATATATTTTCTTTTTTAAAAAAAATTATTATTATAATTTTTTAGGGATGAAGTCTCACTCTGATGCCCAGGCAGGAATGCCGTGGCAAATCATCACTTAATGCAGCCTAGAATGCCTGGCCTCAAGCAATTTTCCCATCTCAGCCTCCTGAGTGGCTGGGACTACAGACCCTATCCCTAAAATTTTTAAATTCTAAGAGTTATCCCATGTTTAAACATTAACAAATATAATTCTTACATACGGAAAAATAATAGTTAACACAGAAACCAAAACTGTATACTTAGATAATAGAATATTAGTTAGTACCTACTATGCCAGATTCTGTTTTGTCACTACATAACTAAAGGCGAATCACTTACTCCTCTGTGCCTTAGCTTCTCTGTGGAAACATACCGTTGTTTTTATCTATAAAATGGGATAGTAACAAAACCTACCTCATCGTCATAGAGTCAACGTGAGGATTAAATGAGATAATGCATGAAAAAAAAGCCTAGCTATTATTACAGTAATAGTCTAGGGCATGCTGTTATTAATGAAGAAATTTGTAACTTTAAAAGAATACATAGATTCTAAGAAAAAGTCAATTAATTGCTTGAAAATGATCATATTCAACAACACTAAAACTCCTTTTTCCTGGAATAATGTGACCTCAAATGGCTATGTTTGGTTCCATTTTGCATCTTCTTAGAACTGGGATACATAGCCTGCAAATGAGGACTGGCACTGGTCTGGGAGATGGGGAGATGTCAGCAATGCCTCTACTTTGAGTTACTGCCAAACTAGATCCAGAGTAAGAGATCTGCTCATCCAACTAGAGTCACCCTAAGGTCCACAGTTTTCTCAGATTACTGTCCAATTGTAATCTCACATTACTGTTCAATTGTGTTTTAAAATTTTGAAATAAATTAGAAATTCATCATTTCTAATGCTTATGTTACGGTTTAAAACATTACATATCACAAATAAGTTATTTTAAAAAATCATTTATGTAGTATGTTCTAGCATATCTGCTAAATTTATCTTTAAAACTGTAAATTTCCAGAACTATCTGATTTATTAAATGTTTCTATTTTGAGGAAATATATAATATTTTTTAATGTCTAGCATGAAAGCCAATCAGCTCCAGCTTACCTATATTCATGAAAAATTACAAAAGAAATCTCCTACTTATTGGTATATATAAAATTGATTTTATAACATAAGTTTAAAGTACTGTCTGCTATTATGGGTACTCTTAGAATTAAAGTCCAGAATTCAAATTTATACAAATTGAGACTTTTTCACTTACCGGAAGTAAAGTCCTTGACAAACTGCTGTATGTACTCCATGACCCTATCAGTCTGACCCTGTTTACACAAGCAAAGGAGAGCTTTCTTGTGCAGCCCGCATTCACTGTAGATAATCTGAGCTAAAGCCAGGCACTTGGCCTTATTATAAGTATCCTGCTCCCCATAATCACAAATCACATCTCCTGCCTCTTCAGAAAATGTCAGTCTAGAACAAGAAGATCAATAAGACACATGTTAGAAAATTCTTGATGAGTGGCTGAGACTGAGATATTTGAAAATTCAGCACAGTAGAACTGGATTTTCTATTGCCTGTAAGAATTCCAAGTTACAATTTAATAAGCAATTGATGATGTAGGAGAAATTAAACATATCTGAGATTTAACAACAACAACAACAAAAAAACCAATCAGTGTGTATTCCCTTGGAGGAGGACATTTTGGCTCCTCAAAAGCTCATTTTAAAAAATCCACAAACAAGATTAAAACTCTCCTAAAAAGACTGATAGGTCTAAAAATTACAAGGTAAACCAAATGCTCTCATAATTGGGGTCTCAATATTTTCAAGCAGTTATCTAGATTCTAAACCGTATGGAATGTAAAAGCTTATTAAATGTTGGTTGTAGATAGTGACAACAGTTTCAGTTCATATAAATAGATATTGCAAGCATTTGTACTAAAAGGAAAACAGAAAGTGTGACAGCACTGTTATTTTTAAAATTTGTTATAGATTTATAAGAGGGAAGAGGGGAAAATGGACATAATTGTGCCTGTTAGGAAAGACTGAGGAAGCAGTTCTTTTGAGAGGGCTCAACTGAATAGATTTCACTTGTCATATTTTAATGTACCACTTCTATACACAACTGAAGTTAAACATCTGATGTGCTGTAAGAGTAAATTCACCTAGAAACTATAGGCAGAGCCAAAAGAACATCTGGGTATGATCAAAGATACCACTTCGAATTACTTATGTTATACATATTTTTAATTAACAGTTACAAAATAACAGCAATCATATGATATTGGTGTCTGTATACATCTAAAAATGCTGATAACATTAAAATGAAATCCTGAAGCCCCTACAAAATGTCTTTTTCCTGAAAACTCAGTAAATAAAGCCTTCTGTGTTTATTGGGGTGGGCAGCAGAGAGGTGAGTCTACATCAAAAGGTAGCCTGAGTACAAATTAATTATTTAGTTAAGAAATTCTCTGACTTCCACACTTTAATACCAAAATACAGGTTGTTTGCTGCAATTCCTGAGGCTGAACAAGTTAATTATTTTAGTCTAAGTAGTGACTGAAATACTGCAGCAAAATCATAATGCCAGTATTTTAGTATTTATTTATCTTCTTAATGCCATCATTTTTTGAAGGGTCGCCACCTTAGAGAAGGCCAGAGCTGGGATGCTGGCCAGGGAAATTCCCTCCCTGTTTTTCCCTCCAATCATCACTTCATCGTACCCTCTTTCTGCTTCCGTAAAATCCCCTTGTTGACTTTTCTCACCCTTACACCTAACTCAAAGAGGACTCTTTTTGGGCCTTGTGAAAGTGGATCTGACACCAGGCTAGCTCTGGAAAATATGAACAGCTAAGAAATAAAATAAAATGTGCTTAACCCTACAGTAATCTAATACATATTTGATTATAAATTAGATTTAATTTTTTTTTTACCAGAAAATGTAAGTTTTATGTCTCTCTGTTTTTTTGTTTTGTTTTGTTTGAGACAGAGTCTCCCTCTTTCACCAGTTGCCAGGCTGGAGTGCAGTGGCACCATCTTGGTTCACTGCAGCCTCTGCCTCCTGGTTTCAAGCAATTCTCCTGCCTCGGCCTCCCAAGTAGCTGGGACTACAGGAGCCCACCACCACACCCAGCTAACTTTTGTATTTTTAGTAGAGATGGGGTTTCACTATGTTGGCTAGGACGGTCTCGATCTCTTGACCTCGTGATCTGCCCACCTCAGCCTCCCAAAGTGCTGGGATTACAGGCGTGAGTCACCATGCCCAGCCTATGTCTCTTTTAAGTTGTTACTACATATATGATCTTTAGAGTAAAAACAAGCACCAAGAGATGTCCTTAAAATAGAATGTTGATTCTTATTTATTATGCTTCAAGTTCCAGGGTATATGTGCAGAATGTGCAGGTTTTTTACATAGGTTTACACGTGCCATGGTGGTTTGCTGCAACCATCAACCCATCATCTACATTAGATATTTCTCCTAATGCTATCCCTCCCCTAGCCTCTACCTCCACAGGCCCCAGTGTGTGATGTCCCCCTCCCCGTGTCCATGTGTTCTCATTGCTCGACTCCCATTAATGAAAGAGAACATAGTGTTTGGTTTTCTGTTCTTGTGTCAGTTTGCTGAGGATGATGGTTTCTAGCTTCATCCATGTCCCTGTAAAGAACATGAACTCATCCTTTTTTATGGCTGCATAGTATTCCATGGTATATATGTGCCACATTTTCTTTATGCAGTCTATCATTGATGGGAATTTGGGTTTTAAAATTTTTTAATGTCAAAATAAAGGTAATATACAATCTCTAAATCCATGCATAGAATTTATTTACTGTTATTTTCTAGGACTGAGATTGCAGAGTTAAAATTTCAGAGAGTATTTATCTTCTTCTGGGAGCAGTGTCTGCAATTAAAAGAAGTAATACCAGTAAAGGATGGTTTCTTAAAATTTAGACTTTGCAGGCCAAGTGATTAGACTTTTCCCAGGTAAGAATGACTAAGAGAGCCAAGATTAACCCATAAGGCAGGCTGCTAAAGGGCTAGCTCTATGCTGAGCTTCTGGGAATGAACTGGAAGGCTTTTTAAGGTAGTCATGTGACAGAGGCCAGATAATCAGAGGTAGAAACTGGGAAACAGAGACTAAGTATGAAGAATGTGAATTGCCTTTAATATTCCCTCTTGTATTATCTCAGGATCTTTAAAACTGGTGGCATTTTCTCAATACATGTAGTCACAGAAATGCATAGTAATTAAAGAATTTAAATTCTTACAACTAAGAGGTAGAATGGGTCAAGAATCATCATTATGTGTAAGAAACTTAATCTTGTCTGAAGCACCTTTGCACTAGAACTTTTTAAAACAGGTTTTGGTAAAGAACATGCACTTTCTGATGATATCCTCAAGTCCAAACCATTTCCAGTGCTCCCTGATACATACCTTTTGTGGAGGGTGTAGAAAAGTGATCGGGCAGAGAAGAGGTCAAAGAGAGAAAAGAAGGGTATACATATGAAGAGGTTATTTCCTAAAACAAAATTAACTATTAGGTGGACAGTAAATGAAGGCCATAATAAGAATGGGTGGGAGAAACACACTTTGCACTGGTAAATAGTGCCATCAAGATAGTTTTATCCAGAATTGTGCAGGGGAAATGGTGGATTTGAAATGAGTGGCAGTAGGCAGTAGAATGTAAGCCTACCATTTTTATGTTTAGGACATTTCTAAGTCGTGAGTTTATTTAGGAATTGCTTACTAATGTCCGTCTATCTCCTTATGATACCGTTCTTAAAGATGAGAACCATTCAATAATCTGTAGTATGTATTCTACATCCCTATGCATTCAGAGCCAAGTAAGCATAGCCCTTAGGCTGCCAGCAGCAGGCTATACCTACCAGACAGACTACTGAGAGGCCTTTCCCTTCTCTGCCTTCCAATACACACAGCCCAGCCCATCTTCACAGAGACGCAGTATAAGCAGCTGCTATCTATTTTCCGATTGATCTTCGTAAGTTGTTCAGTCATTGTGGTAGACACTGTTCTGGTGTCTCATCCAGGCCCCGGTTACTGAACTAGTGTCCCTTCTCCAGCTGACTGCTAACAGCTCATAGCTGCCACCTTCGCCAAAGAATTGTCCTCAGGTGTCTGTAGCCACCTCACCCAGAAAATTATGCCTATCCCACAACCCCCAGTAGTCTACACTCAACCCCCAATGACTGACTGATAGGGGTTACAAAAGGCCAGCCCCTTAATAAAAGGAAAGAACTCTGTGTAATGTCTATGCTCTGTAACCCTCTCCCTGTGATAATGGCTAATACTAGACTTGACCTGAGTTCACATCATTGCTTGGCTCGTTTCTAAGCCCTATCCTATTTCATTCCCTTTGAAAATTTTCCTGAGTAGTAATCTATTAGTAAATAATCTGCACCCTAATCCAAGTCACAAGTTCTCTTCAAGGAAATAGGGAAACTGAGTGACAAAAATATTTCCCTCTGCTCCATTATATAGCAACAGTCCTACCTGTTGATAATAATCAAGTAAGTCAAAACCTCACAGACACTAAAGTTGCAGGCATAGGAAACACAAATCCCCTGGGATGGTTAATTTTATGTGTCAACTTGACTGGGCCAGAGGGTGCCCAGATCTTTGGTTGAACATTACTCTGGGTGTATCCATGGGGTGTTTTGGGATGAGATTAATTTTTTTTTTAGTTTGGAAGTATTTATTTTCAAATTGTAAAGTCAATTTTACCAGAACTAAAAATGAGAGAGATTGCACAAGTAATGTAGTTTGTCAATTTTGTTGAGATAATATTAATATATATACTTTCCTTCATCTGATAAAGATGTCACTCACACATTCTATAAAGTTTCATTTTAATTAAGGATTTCCTTCTTTGACATTAATGCTATTATCAGAACAGGAAATTGGAAAGCGTGTCAAAAGCAATATAAGCTTTTTACTCTGTGGCCACTGGCTCTGTTGTGCAGGTAATACTTACATTCCACACTTATTTTATTCTTACACTAGGAAAAATATTCCAATATTTTTTGTGAAAACCAATGAGGGAGGGGCTTAAGACTATATAAAAATCTGATTTTTTATAACAGCAATTTTAAATGACTAACAGAGTACGTGGCCTCTAAGTGGTACTCAGAAATATTGATTGACTTTCAAAAATAAACAACATAATTCATTTAATAATTTTCTCATTTCCCCTATCCTAATATATATTTTTGTTGCTGTTGGTTTTTTTTTTTTTTTTTTTTTTTTT